CGTGCTGAACGTAGTACAGTGCGAGCGTTACGTCCGCTTTACAACCCGGACTCAGCAGCGGCTGTCGCGAGGAGACAGGCAGTGCACAATTTGGAGAGACGACTCCAACAGTTGCAATCGGTGAGTGATAGTGATAGGTAATGAGTGTTTGGGTTGTAGGTTGTGAGTTTACAGGTTGTAAATTTTGAGTGTTTGGATTGTAAATTTTGAGTGTTTGGATTGTAGATTTTGAGTGTTTTGGTTGTAGATTGTGAGTGTACGGAAGATTGTGTTTCAGGTGGAGAGAGAGAATTTTTTAATTTTGATTATTTTTTTAAAGCTGTGACGTCACAATATGGCACTGGTTGATGCACATTTATATCGTTAATAACATTTAAAAATATATATTTAATGAAACTATCAATAGCTCTAGATGAAATATTAGTTATATTTAGTCACTTCCTGCCTCGCACAGCAGAGTTGTGGAATGGTCTGTCCTTGGCGGTATTTCCAAATCGCTACGACTTAAGGTCCTTCAAGAAGCGAGCATATCACCATCTCAAAGGCAACGCATCTGCGGTTCCTCTGGTATTGCTGATGTCCATGGGTGTCGTTGAACACCTCGGTGTTCCCGCTGCTCGTTCGCCCCCTTCTGTTATAAAAATATATATATTTAATAAGATTCTTATAAATATTTTCTAACAGGAATGGACTCTATCAATAGCCCGGTCTGGTCTGATCAAGTTACCAGAGAAGATGGTCGACTATCCCAAAGTGGTGCAGCAACATAAAGAGAGACAACGAGAGATTAGACGACAACTTGAGGTAATTAACTCGCACTTTAAATGATTATTAGGTTGTTTCCCGCGACTCCGTCCGTGTGGAACTAAAAAAGAACTTAGTATCTATGTTATCAAGATTCGTTATATCCATCTATCCATTCATCTAAACAATCGCATCAATAACAAATCAAATAAAAAAATTCCAAAATAAAGTACAAGAGCTATTAAAAATAAATTTTTTCGACTATATGATTGAATTTGACGATATTTTTATTATAAAAGTGTTTTAGAACTGTTGTTTTTATAATTTTTTAGTCACATAATTTTTAAAAATACTAATTTAATTTCTATACAAAGATAGTTTAACAGATCTTTGTGGTATTAGATAATTACGATCTCCATTAACTCTTGGTCTATATTTAGGAGCGTTTAGCATCTCTACAATTGGAGGCACGCAACCTACTCTTACTGTACAGACCGTGGCGTTGCGTTGAAGCGGACTTTGCCGAGTTCCCAACTACAGAACTCGCTGCAGTAAGTTTTACATCCGAGTAACTCAGAGCACAACTCACAATACTCTTACTGAGTTCTTTGTTTTTAGAGTAAAATAGTTTAATCTTATTTTATTATTATGACGAAATATTCAGATCATTACTAATTGAATTGAAACTGCTAGTAACTTTAATATCAATTAGCTAAATAAATTGTTGAGAAAAGTAAATTTTATTGCAGCTTTTTTTTAACTTAAAGTGTCAGTGACGTGTCTCTACATACAAGACTTTACATATTGATTGGATAGTTAAGGCGCCGCAGGTTGCAAAAATGAGGCGCCCCGAGTCATAAAAAGTGAGGCGCCCCAAGTCATAAAAATTGAGGCGCCTCATATCACTAAATGTGGATCATATTGTGATATCCTTGGATTTCTTTCATTGGATACAATGTTAATATTTTTTTTAGCTATATTTCTTTATCGTAATAAATATGTCTTATGTTACTTAGGCAATGAATCCAAAGACGGTAGATGTTGGTACACTCAAGTTCCCGGCGTCTGATGATTTTAAAGCTGACACAGTTTATGTCACACCTACACAGCTCGCTGAGTAAGTAACATATAGGATGGATCCTATGTAAACGATCGTAACTCACAATTATTATTCTATACTATACTATTCTTCTGCAGAGTGTCATAAGTAAAATTTGTATTTTCAGATTACGTGAGCTGGTAACTGAGTTACAATCAGAAGATGTTAAAGTGGAATTAGATTTAAAGTTAGAAGGATGTGCGGCTTAAAGCAAATTGTATCTTATAGATATGGAAATAAGGTGCAATATGTACGAATGTTTACGCTTTTCATAAAAAAATTGAACTTTATTAGTTTGAGATTTAAGTTGACTTTGCAATAAGTGAAGTTTTATAAATTCACAAATGAAAAGATTCGAAAATTAATACTCTAATAAAATTAATCTATATTTTTTGGTTTCAAATTGCAATATCATATTTTTTTGTCATCCTTAGTCTAGTAGCTGTACTAGGTCCCTGGGCGAAACTTTTACGGCGCCTCCTTTTTTAACATGCATTGGGGGGGGGGGATAAAACTGGATTACATTTTTGTAATTTCACAAGTGACAGAAAATTGTCAGTTTTGCGGCGCCCTTTTCAGGCGCCTTAAATGGGCGCCTTTTTCAGGCGCCTTAAATGGGCGCCTAACCGCACTCTAACGCTAACCCTGCCTTAAACACTCTAAGGAAGTCATCTATTTCGATTGTCCCTGTTTTTTTATAGTCTCTCCCTTGATCATGTCACTTTTCTTACAATCCATCCATTCCTAGGCCGGTTTAACTAAACATTTGTGGATTTCATTATGACACGGTCGATTCGGTCCCCACCGAGTTGAAAGACCGTGTAAAATGCTCCCCTCTACACTAAAATACATAGTTGTGTAGAGTTGGTGATTGCATTGCGTGTATGTCTATAAATGTTCTATACATTTATAGACATACACGCAATTGCATTGAGCGTCAATGGCTCAGGAGTCAAGCACTTGACTTGCAATCTGCAGGTCCTGGGTTCGAATCCCGCCGTGTACCAATGTGTTTTTCCATTTCCGATTTGAATATGTACTAATCATCATCAGCTCACTATACTTCCCCACCGAGGGGCTCGGAGCCTACCCTAAGTTAAGGGTGATTAGGTCATAGTCAACCACGCTGGCCAAGTGCGGATGACTTCACACATATCTTTAAATTTCTCAGATATGTGCATCACGATGTTTTTCCTTCACCATAACGTCGGATAAATGTACATATGTAAATAGGAAATGGAAAAACACATTGGTACATGGCGGGATTCGAACGCAGGACCTGCAGATTGCAAGTCAACGACGTAAAAAGAAAAGTTTATATAATAACATTTTAATTCTTACGTTATACATACAACAAACATATTCAGTATATTATTATTATTATTATAATTCGAAATATTATCAATAATACGGCAGCAAAAGTAAATTTATAGTAAAGGTAAGTATAGTTCTTTTCAAATATCTTAGCAAGGGCATTCACGCTGCGCACTATCTCTTAATATCTATATTTCAACTAAAATTAAAAAGATATAAAGACAAGATACAATAACGCTTTATTACTTAATATATATAAAGGTGTTTTTTAATTAACCAACCGTCTTTTACCTTTCCTGGTATATTTGTCAAGTTCTATTGTAAAAAAATAGTAATAAAAATCAATTAAAAAGTACTAAAATATCTCTAGTTATTCAATTTAAAGAAAAACAAAAATAAATATTTTATAAAGATCGAAAGTTTCTTTTTTTTATGCTTAAATAGTTTCATTCTATAATTCGTAAGCTATTTATTAGAAATATATACAAAATATAACTAGAATAACAAAATAACCTACAAAATAGTGCGTCTTATGCTTAATTTGATGTAAGCGGTATAAATAA